CGCTGAGCAAGGAGCCTGATGCAGGACTCAATCCCAGAACCTTGGGATCATGACCTCAGCCCAAGGCAGATGCTTAACCGACTGAGCCACCCAGGTGTCCTTATATTTTGTATTTCTTTATTGAGGTTCTCACTGAACTCATCCACTTTTCTGTCAAGACCAGTGAGCATCTTCAGGACCATTACTTTGAACTCTTTCTCAGGTAGATTGTTTCATTTCGTTCTTTTTTTCTGAGGTTTTGTCTTGTTTCATTTGAAACATATTCCTCTCTCCACGTTTTGTCTGACTCCTTGTTTGTTTGTATGTATTAGGTCAGCTACAGGTCCTGGTCTTGAAAGTAGTGACCTTTTATGTAGACGGCATCCTGTGGGTCTCAGTAGTGCAGTCCCCCCAGTCACCAGAACCAGTCACTGTAGGGTGTGTCCCCTGTGTGTGCTTTTTGAGCTCTTTTGTAACTGGCCAGGGACTGCTGGGTGGGGCTGGCCCTCAGCCCATACTACTGCAAGTGGCTGGCTGAGAGACCAAGCTGTAGCTGCTGCTGGTATGCTGGTGGGTGGGGCCTATTCCTCCTCCCTGGGGCAGGAGTCCCTTTGAAGAGGTGCCTGTCCCAGCTGGGGCTGCCCATGCGCTGTGGCAAGACAGGAGCTGCTTTGGAGGGGATGGGTAGCTTAGGTGGGGTGGGTTTGCAAGGGAATGCTAGGGTCGGGGAAGCAGAACTGGCTCCCAGAAGCATCCAGCCAGCTAGGCTGAAGGAGAGCCAGAAGAATGGTCTCTGCCAGCACTTTTTTTTTTTTTTTCCTTCTGCCAGCACTTCTTTGCCTTGAGAAGGTTTCTCCAGATCCTTGCTTCTCTGGCACATACTTCAGAATTAGTAAATCTTCACCTGTGACCTAGGTGCTTTTCAAACTGTGGCCTTTTGTGCTAGGTTTCAGACTGAGTGTTATGGTATGCTGGCCCTTTAAGAACAGAATCTCCATTTCCTGTAGCCTCTGGCTCTCCCATTACCATGTTAAGCCCTGCTGATTTTCGGATGTCTCAGAGTTAAGCTCTGCTCATTTTCAAAGTCAGACTTTATGGGGCTCATCTTCCTGTGCAGGTCCCCAGGGTCAGGAGTGCCCAATGTGGGGACTGATCCTCTTACCTATGTGCCTGTGATATCCCTCCCACTTGTGGTTTGCTGTGCGAGGCGTTTGGTTCTGCACCACATCTCTAACCCCCTCCTACCCTACTCCGTTTGGCTTTTTGCTTCAGCTGTGGAATAAGTGTTCTGGTCTTGAGGCCGTTGTCAGAGTAAGTTGTGTTATATGTAGTTGTTGCCTTGGTTCATCTGTGGGTGGTGAGCCCTCCTCTTCCTACTCTGCCATCTTCCCCTCTGGTATTTCTTATAAAGGCAGTAATCGCATCAAGAGTCCCAACCAGATGGCCTTATCTAACATAATTACCTCCCCATACCCTACCTTCTAATTCCATTCCATTGAGGTTAGGGGTTCAACATATGAATTTGGGGGGCACATATCCACTGCTTAATAGGAATGTAATAGGGATATATGCACCAACATGGATGAGTCTCTAAACAGTTAGGCTGAGTGGAAGAATTTAGAGAAAATGAACACACAGCATCGTTCCATTTATTTAAGATTCTTGAAAATGCAGAGTAATCCGTTATCACAGAAGCAGATCAGTGGTTTCCTGAGAATGGTGGTTGAATGAGTGAGGGACGTAGTGGAAAGGATTATGAGAAAATTTTGGATGGCGACGAATATGTTTCCTGTCTTGATTGTGGCGATGGTTTCGGTGGTATATATCTGTGTTAAAACTCGCCACACTGTACACTTTCAATGTATTCACAGCTTAATACAACCACAAAGATACAGATAAATAAAAAATACATTTACTTCCAGCAAGGTAAAGTATCTGAGGAGGATGGTTGGAATGAAAGCAGTAAGGGGGAGCATAGAATCCTGAAGAAGAGGGGAAACGATTTGTTTCTTTTTTCTCTTTCTCTGCCCAATGGTATCAATATGCAGTTAAGGATAAAGCAGAAACCCCCTAAAAAGATGGAGTTCTTGGAGTCACTGTCATATTAGGAGGGCCTAAGGTGGACCCAGCACCAGATATTCCTAAACTCATATGACCCAGTGTTATTGTTAATGAGAGGGAAGGTTTGTGCTGGATTTGGGGAGTTACAGTAGTTTATAAGCCAATGGGATAAGTAGAATAATGTCCCACTTACACAGCAAAGGAGAGTTAAGGTAGTGCTAATCAACTGACCTAGAAGTAGAGAGACGATGCTGGATTACCTGAGCCTGCCCAGTGTAATCATATGGGTTCTTGGATGGGGAAATGATAGGCAGAAAATGGAAAGTGTCTGAGTGATGCAGGGTGAGGACAACCCAGCTGGCCGTTGCTGGCTTTGAGATGGAAGGGGGCCATGAGCCCAGGTCTGTGGGTGGCCTCTAAAGGAGGCAAAAGAATGAATTCTTTCCTAGAGCCTCCAGAAAGGAAGCTAGCCGTGCTGACATCAGTGAGACCCATTTTGGACCTCCGACTTCCAGAACTGTAATATAATAAGTTTGTATTGTTTAAGCAATAATAAGAAACTGAAAAGTCCAGTTTAACATTTTAAAATTACGCTCAGTTGAAATAGTGCATTACCAACCAGCATACTTAGGGTTGCCAGATTTAGAAAATAAAAATACAGGACGCTCACTTAAATGTGAATTTCAGATAAACAATATATTTTTTTTACTGTATGTCCCCTGCAATATACCTTATAAAATTATTCATCTGAAACTCACATTAAACTGGATATCCTATGCTCTGTCAACTCTAGGTATACTAGAAAGCACTATGAGCATGTTTTGCAATCCTGGTTATTCTTTATAATAAAGAAGGATAAAAAGAAACGGGCATTTATGACTTAGCTGACTGCTGGTAGGATAAAAACTGAAAGCACACAAAATACTGGTATACAGGTAAGTGTCCACTTAGCTTCAGGCTCTTAGGAGAACCTTGTGAATGACTTGGGAGACATTCTGGGGCCTTGATGCATTTATATGCAATTGCACTACTTTGAGTCAGAATAACCGAATCTTTCAGGATATACAATTGGGTCAGCTTTAGGAGTAGTCACCAATACCCTTCCCTACTTACGCACAAATACACAGACACAGGACTATGCACGCAGATGGTTGCACTGGCAGAAACGCTTGCTGCAGAAGCACATGTGAACATCCATGCGGAATCACATCAACGTTTTGTAGGGATACCTGTCTGGAAAAGTGTGTGCCTAAAACCTGAGGGACAGACATCACATTGTAAGGTTTCATAAGGCTGGGGTAGGGAGGACTTGTGGAGAGACGGGGCTATTCTGTAAATTTATGAATTTGTGATTATGCTGTCAAAACATGTAGAACTGTACACTAAGAGTGCATTTTTCAGCTATTGTTTTAAATAGGGCTGTCATGAAAGGACTTGGCAGCAAGCATTTCACGTGGCTATTTGAGGACAAAGCAACTCAGGCAGAGAGATCTGAAGTGTGCTCAGGAAATGTCAGAGTAGTCCTGTTTGGTTTTAAGGAGAATACATTTGTGAAACAGAAGTACTTTTCCCAAATGTATAATTTCTGATCTGACATCCATAATGCTAAAAGGCTTTTGGAAATCTTTCCTTTTTGATTTGTGCGCAAACCACACTTCAGTTTTAGAGGGGCGCGGTGTCCTCTCCATGGCTGTTGTCATCTGTTTGCAGCAGTTATATTCTTGATTTAAAATTAACTTCTCTTGGGGTATCTGGGTGACTCAGATGGTTAAGTGTCCGCCTTCAGCTTAGGTCATGATGTCTGGGTCCTGGGCTTGAGTCCCACACCTGGCTCACTGCTCCATGGGGAAGTCTGCTTCTCCCTCTCCCACTCCCCCTGCTTGTGCTCTCTCTCTCGCTGTGTCTCTCTCCGTCAAATAAATAAATAAAACCTTTAAAAAAAAATAAATAAAATAAGTATAGATTCACAGCATAAATAGTATAGAAGTCCCATGTTCCCTTCACCCAGCCTCCCAAAATGATGATCTCTTAGGTAGCTATAGATCTTACTCAGTTTCTAACTTGCACATGTGTATGTACTGTTACAAAATTTTCCCCATACAGAGATTCAGATCACCACCAATGCAATCAAGATATAAAACTGGATTTGTGACTGCAAAAACTTCCTCATGCTGTTTGTATTCACACCAATTTACACTCCACCCCCCTCCCTGTCCTCTGAAAAGCACTAACTAATCCATTCTCCATCTCTGTAGTTTTATGAAATTTTTTCCTACTAAATGTAACACACTTGAGAGTATTCCGTTGTATGGATGTTGAAGAATTTTTTCAGTTATTCATCCGTTGACATTTGTTCCTAGTACTGTGCTATATAATGAGTAAAGATACTGTGAACATTGATTTGTGAATATAGGCTTCATTTTTTTATTTTTAGGAATTTTTATTAAGCACACAGACTGATTTTCCATTTATAATATAAATATTTCTATTTATTACTTATTGTTGAATTGTTCTATAATTTATAATATATAATTTAAATTGAAACAATTTGTTTCATTATGTGAACAAAGAAATTCTCTGGTAGGAATAATGATAATGACCCAGTCTGCTGGCCCAGTATTCTTTCTTTCTTCATCACTAAAGTCAGCCTTAGCATGCTGTCTAAATTGATAAGGTAGTTTCCACTAACTTAAGTCAGAATATTGTCTTTCTCAGACTAGAGTTGGGGTCCTTGGAGATGCCTCACCCTTTACTTCAGACATTTCTACATGAGTTCGTATCAGTTTTGTTGAGAAGCAGAACATTAAGTACTTGAGGGAAATGGACACATTTTCCCTGGGCTGTTGCAGACAGATTGAGCAGTTTAGGAGGCATCAAAACTTTACAGCATCGGGGATATTGATATAATGTGCTTGAGCCTCATGGTGGGCTTGACTCCACCTTGTCTTTGTTCTTTCCAGATACAAGCAGAGGGGTCATTACCTTCTCAGCAGTAGTTCTCTTCTTGTGAGGCGAGGGCCGTATGCACCATCCTGATCCTGGTGAGTATGTTTGACCCTGTTTGTGAATCCGAGCTCTCGGCTCACGACCACCTCCCTTCCCTTGTGTCTTCATCTTTCTCAACATTTCTGCCCTTTCTACTTCATTAGCAGTGACAAACGTGTTTCCCCGTTCTGCTTTGGGGGCAAGGAAAACTTTTTCCACATAGAGTCTTTGGGCTCTAAGTTCCCTCCAGAATATGCAATTGTGTAGTATTTAGTAACACTTTAAAAAATATTTGTAGTCTCATAAACTGTGCCAGTTAATCTGCTGGGAATAATTTTAAATTCAGTGTTGAGTAACAGTTGTAGGATACAAAAGGAGCCATTGTGTAAGCAATTAATTCAGAGAGAATTTCATGATTTTGGCTTTTTGACAGTAGAAATCCTATGCTGATTTGAATTTTAAACTAATACCCAACATATTTATTTTATGAACACATTGGATGAAAAATGTTGTGTGAAGAGACAATGCATGTGGACTGTGAGGAATAATACATGTCTGTCTAAATAGCATTTTTAATCTAATGCTATGAATGACAGGGAAAAGAGGACATTTCTTGGGTAGGGACCTCTTTCCCTATACACTCTGAGCACAAGAGGTTTAAAAAATGGGAGAAAGCTGGAGGTTGGTTCGTGTAGTTTGATCTCAGTTCCAACTTTCTGTCTTCTGAGGGAGGACACTCCTCTTTTCTAAAAAGTTTTTGCTTTTGTCACATAATGGACGCTCCAAGGAAGGCTCCTTTCTGCCTGTGCTGCTGCTTACATTTTTAGAGCCATCACCAGCAAATACTATAGGCATAGATTTGGTTCTAGACCACTGCAATAAAGCAAGTCAAATGAAGTTTTTGGTTTCCCAGTACATATATAATAATAAGCTAGGTTTACACTTTACACTGTAGTCTTTTAAGTGTACAGAAACCATTAGGTCAAAGAAACAACCAATATTCAGACCTTACTTAAGAAAAATATTTTCTTGCACACCCTTCATCTGAGCTTTCGGCGAGTCCTAATCTTTTTGTTTGTGGCTCAGGGTGGCTGTGGCAATTTCTTAAAATAAGACAATGAAGTTTACCATAGCAGTTGACTCTTCCTTTCAGAAAAACCTTCTTTGTCAGTGGTCATTTCAGCATCTTCACCAGGAATAGATTCCACAGCCAGAGACAGAACACAAGCAGGGTGAGTGGGGGAGAGGGAGAAGCAGGCCTCCTAATCCCAGGACCCTGGGATCAGGACCTGAGCCAAAGGCAGACGCTTAACGACTGAGACACCCAGGCGCCCCTCATCCATTCAAGTTTTATCATGAGATTGTACCTTACAGCCATTCAGTCACATCTTCTTTACTTCTAATTGTTTTGCAGTTTCCACCCCACATCTACTGTTATTTCTTCCATGGAAGCCCTAAATCCCTTCTCTCGCCTTACAAAGACTTGAAAGTCAAAAATTATTCCTTCATCCATGGGCTACAGAATGGATGTTGCGTTAGCATCTCCATCAGAGCTCATGGGTGATTGGGTGACCAGGTGCATTGTCAGCAGTCGGGTCTGGGCTTTGTACTGTCATCTGGGCTTTGTTGTTCCATTTATACCTCAGGCAGAGTGGATTCAGCTTAATTTTTAAATGAGCACTGGGCCCCTAACAAGACAGTTGTCCTCTCCTCTGAAGCCAGGCAGGCTTGACATCTCTAGCTCTGAAAGTGCTAGATGGCATCTTCCAACAGAAGGCTGTTTTGTCTACCTTGAAAATTTGTGGTTTAGTGTAGCCACCTTTGCGACTGATCTCAGCTAATCGTCCAGATCAGCACTAGCTGCTTCACCTTGTATTTTCCTTCAACCTCAGGAACCAGCCTCTCTGCTGACTTTCAGCTTGTCCTTCTGCCGACTCCTCACTTCAGCCTTCCTAGAATTGGAGACAGTTAAGGGTTTTGGCTTAAGGGAACTTTGGGGCCACTTTGATCTTCTTTGCAGAGCACTACAACTTTCTTATCAGTAGTAAGGCTGTTTTGCTTGCTGTTTTGCTTTCTTACCATTTGTGTGTTCACTGGAGTAGCACTTTTAACTTTTATTTATTCCCTGCAAAGGCTTTTTGTGGTTATTTTGCATTCACAACTGGGCTACACTTGGCTATCATTTCTGTGATTTAAAGTGAAAGATGTACAAGGCCCTTCTTTTCACTTGTGTTCTAATGTTACTAATAGGCATAATTTCACTATTGTCTTGTCGGAGGGAAATAAGGAAGCCTGAAGGTGGAGCCATCAGAACAGATACCACACCATTTATCAATTCCAGATGGCCCTTTGACTAGGGCTTCATTACCTGGAAATGACAAACCTGCTAAATTGTTCCACAGGAGAGTTAGTTATGAGCTTTAGAGTGTTTTCTAATTTAAGAGCCAAAAAAATCCTTCATGCAATTGTTTTGGGAATGTTCTTCACGCACACACTTGTGGGAGGGCTTGTGGGAGGGCTTCTCCTTCCCAGGCGCTTCAATTTACATGGCATTTCCAGTGAGAAACTCTTAGCATCTGTGATGCCATATCATTCATATACATGCAGATTACCAAATCACTGTGACAAAATAAGACTAGGTATGTGCTCTGTGGCACCTCAGTTCAGGAGTAAGTAGCTCACACTGTCCTTAATGGATTTATATCTTCATCTGTTCAAACCTCCTAGGTAGATAGAACTACCTCTACGGAAGTGAGTACTCGTGTATTCTCAGTCCTTGCAAGGGAGTATCCCTTTTACGGTGGGTTCTGCATAAAGCTCTGTAAGCTAGGGAGGCACAGCTGGTGTCAGTGAATCTCTAATAGGACATGGAATTTGGTTTGGAACTTAACAACTCCTAGCATTTGCAAAGTCTGGAGACCACTGTGCATTGAGAATTTGGTTTTGAAAGCTTTGAATCACTTTCGTGGCTTTAAGGCTATTGTAGTCCCCCTCATATTCCTCCAAATACCAGAATCCGTGGCTTTCTGATGTTGGACAAAAGCACAGAATGGGCAGTGCACCTTGAGAAAAGCAAAAAAGTAGGAGGTGAGGTCACATCCTTCCCAGTTTCTCCCCCCCAAGGTCAGACACACTTTTATGAGTAACTCTATGGAATGGTACGTCCATTTGGATTTGTAACCTTTGGGAGTGTGCTTAAAACATTAAAGTGATCAGTTGCAGGCAACTCCCCAGGACACAGCCCCCTCACAACACTTCCCAGTGGCCCAGGACTTTCTGATGTGTGGCACCCTTCGCAGAGGCCTGTGGAGCGCAAAGAACGGCATTGCCCAGAGGACCGTGCACCGAGTGACGCCCGCGTGGAGCCAATGAAGGTCCAGGAGACGGGCGTTTCCGTGTGTGCCATCACGTCGGGGCAGGACTTCCGGGGTCCTTGTGGCAGTCGTTTTGGCAGCTCTCAGGTCTGTTTCCTGTTCAGAGGTTCCAGAGCACAGGGTCAGGACAAGGTGACGACGGGGGAGGCACGAGAGGAGGCATCCCCGCGGCACTGCACTGCTCCCGGCCCTGCTCTTCCCACAGAGTCCGATGGCGGCGGCCACACCCAGGGACCCACCTCAGGTAAATGCCTAAGACCCTCAAGACGCCTGCTTGCATTGCTGCGGCCCAGGCCAAACCTGGTCTCCACTGTAAGCAGGGAAAGGCCTGGATTCACAGGCCGAGGGACAATCAGGAACAGTGGAGATGGGAGCTCATTGAGCCCCACACCTCTACTGATGAAGCACTTTTGGAGCCCGACATGTAAGGGGGAGGGTGTCCAGGATGGTGGAATGACATCAAACTAGAGGTGATATGGATGGAAGTGTTTGCAGGTCTAGTAAAAGTCAGCAAAATGAGGTGGTCATGGGACACAGCTACCAGTATGGCTGAGCTGTGAGTAGTCAAGGAGATGCACGTGTTCTTTCCTTCTGACAGCTTGGATCTTAGGTTACTGCAGAGATGTAAATCGTGGCCCTGGAAGTAAGAGAAAGTGTTGGGTGGGTTTTAAGAGAGTAAGGTAGACACAACAGGAGGAGACAGGGACGACCCCAGGGCTTTTTGTATCAGCAACCATATTAAGAGAGCCTGACAGGTTTCAGAAAATATTACTCCATGCCGGCAGTAGGTGGGCAGCTGGATATAAAAGTCTACAGATTTGAGGTGGGGTTCAGCCTTAGACACATAGGTGGAACTTTGTGTCACATAGAGGAAGGGAAATTCAAATGATGGTGAGAAGATTATTAAAAGGCTCAGCAGAAGAGGATGGGTACTGAGAGTCTAGACCTGCTTTTTGCAGCAAGTGGTCTCTCAAACAGAGGTAAGGAAAGGACAGAAGACTTCGAGGGGAAGAGAAGACATGAACAGGCTGCTGCTTATTGATGGCATCCTTACCTGGAGCCTGGTAGATGAGCTTAATTTAAGGGTTAAATACTTGGCCTGGTGTTCTATTTAAATATTCATTCCCCATATCGGGATACAGGGATATTGGATTTTAAATTTTAGTGGGGTTGCTCTAGTATCCTTGATAGTAGACTTGAGGCTGCCCTAGGCCGTGGGCTCTGACTTGCCAAGCACGCATGATGCCATAAAGCTATAAAAGAGGTGTGTGAGCTCATGGCTCCATCTCCTTGGTATTAGGGACTGAGGAGCAGTAGTTCAGGCTATCTTTGGCTGTGCCTGGTGAATGCACTGGGGAGGTTGTTGAGGCCTTGCCACCTGGCCATGAGCTTAAGATTCTGTCTGCCCCCATGCCTGTTGTTTAGAGGGCTGGACATGTCCTCTAAGGTGGGAGGCCTGGGAGGAGGATGAGTGGGGCAGGCAGGTGCGGGGACTGGAGTGTGGGTCCTTTGGAGGACGGCTGTTTGTGGTTTCATCTCTCCCCAATCATGGCAGGGTAGTGTGACCTTTGAAGACGTGGTTGTGTACTTCTCGTGGGAGGAGTGGGGGCTCCTGGATGAGACTCAGAGATGCCTGTATCATGATGTGATGCTGGAGAACTTTGCCCTTGTGATCTCACTGGGTAAGAACCCCACCCCTCCCCCAGCCAGATTCTGCTTTTTTTCTCACGTTTGGGTCATGGGTACCGTCATCACTAGGAGTGGGCTCAACAACAACCCTCTTGTAGAGCTGCCTGCAAATCCCCCAGGAGCCTGATGGATTAGCATTGGCCACTCTTGTCCACACTCATGGCACCTGCCCAGGTTTTCTGCCTCCTCCTTAGAAGCTCATGTTTCTTCTTGTCTGAGGCCACCAGTTGCATTGAGGACGAGGGGCTATTCCCGTGGGGTCTGCTTAGAGTATGTTCTGGTTTTGGTACTGCATAGAATTTGCTCTGGAGCATCACTGCTCCTGTCATTGCCTCATCCAAGCCCCAGTTTTCAGCTGGGGTTTAGAGGAGTCCAGGATCCTTCATGGAAGTGCCCACACCTCTCTCTCCCTTTCCTTCCCTCTTCCTCAGTTTTCAACCCCTTGCACTGCTTCCACCTTTCATACCTTCACACCTGTTTCTCAACATTAGGATACACCCCTCCTTAGTCTTTGCCTAGCAATCTAGTCACTTGCAACCATCTGTTCCTGGCCCTAGGCCTAAACTTCCACACAGCACTCCCAGCCCTGCTGCAGGCCCGGGGCAGAGGAGTGAATTTGAGACCCTGCTGCTGCTTCCTGTGCTTCACACACCTCACCGCCTCCCCCCCCCCATCTTGTGAGGCCTCCCTAACACCTGTGACTTTACAGTTCCGGGACTCCAGCCCCTTTTATCAACCTGACCCCAACACCCTCTTTTTGAAAACATATCCAGTGGCCTTATTCAGCTGTGCATGCCAGAGATTCGTGACCGCTTCCACCAAAGATAACACACATTTCACACCAGCATTTCTGTACTTTCAGGTTGTTGGTATGGAATGGAGGATGAGGAGGCCGTTTCTGTGCAACAGATGGCACTGGGCAAGACTCCAAGTCCAGATTCCTCCGTTTGGAGAGCTCAGCCCTGTGAGAAGTGTGTCTTGCTTGGGAGAGACATTTTGTACATGGCTGAGGACCAAGGATCACATCCTGGGCAGAAATCCTACACCTGCGAGGCATGTGGGAAACGACTGTGGTTCAGTGCAGATCTTCACCAGCATCACCAGCACAACGAAGAGAAGCCATTCAGATGGGACATGGAGCTTGTGACAAGCTACAAACTGCATGTGTCAGGGAAGCCTTTCCCCTGTGGGGAAATTGGGAAGGACTTCCTGGCCATATTGAGTCTTCTCCAGCATCAGGCCACTCTCAAAGGGGCCAATCCACACAGCAGCTTGGAACTTGAGGAGTCCTTTCAGGGTAGAGAAAGTCCTCACACATGCAGCAACTATGGGAAATCGTTCAGCTGTGAATACAAACTTTTCCAGCATCAGCAAGTTCACACCAGAGAAGGTTATCAGGACTGGGATAACTGTGAGAAACCTTTTAACCAAAGCTCCACCCTTACTAATTGCTCGAGAGCTTACCCAGGACCAAGGACTTACGAGTGTAATGAATGTGGGAAATCCTTTAGCCAAAGCTACAATCTCATTCAACACCACAGAATTCACACTGGCGCAAGGCCTTATAAATGCAGTGAATGTGGAAAAGCCTTCAGCTTCAAATTCAGACTTGTCCAGCACCTACAAATTCACACTAGAGTGAGGCCTTATGCGTGTGGCGAATGCGGGAAAGCCTTCAGCTACAGCTCTACTCTCATTAAACATCAGAGAGTTCACACGAGAGAAAAGCCTTACAAGTGTGGGGAGTGTGGGAATTCCTTCAGCCAAAGCTCCAACCTCATTCAACACCAGAAAATTCACAGCGGAGCCAGGCCTTACAAGTGCAATGAATGTGCAAAATCCTTCAGCTACAAATGCAAACTTGTTCAGCACCTGCGCATTCACACAGGAGAAAGGCCTTATGAGTGTGGCGAATGTGGGAAATCTTTCAGCCACAGGTCCACTCTCAATCAACACCAGAGAATTCACACTGGAGCCAGACCTTATAAGTGCAGTGAGTGTGACAAATCCTTTAGCCAAAAGTCCAACCTCATCCAGCACCGGAGAGTCCACACAGGAGAAAAGCCTTATGAGTGTGGGGAGTGTGGGAAATCCTTCAGCCAAAGCTCCCACATCATTCAACACCGAAAACTGCACACCAGATAACCTCATGAATGCAGTGGGAAAGCCTTCCCTATAAGGTCTAATATTCACTATAAGGGAACCAACTAGGATATTATATAAACCAGGGGTAAGAGAGCCCCCCAAAGACTTCCCCTGCTCTGTCTTGAACTTTCTAAATGAAGGGCTAGCTGTTTCCCTTCCTCACGAAGTTTCTGACCCAGTTTTGATGAAGCTTGGGGGGGTGGGAGTTCAAAATACTATTTACCTTCCCAGGCCTCCTAGAGTACCATGAGAACAGCGTAATCTCTGTGTCACCACATACTGTGGAACACTAGGGTGGGGGAAAGTTGTCCCAAGTACTGCAAAGGAATCATGTGCCTTCATGTGTGGGTTCACTTTTCTGGGTATCACTGCTTGTAGTAAGAGGACATAGAGGGGCCAGGTGACTTGTACAGAAACAGGACTGCAGGATGATACAGGAACTTACATCCACAGATATTCCAGTGACCATGCCTGTGGTTCAAGTTTATAACACTCCACATCTGTAGTTGAGGAACCTGAGGCTGTTCTCAGACTTAAGTTTTATAGTCCAGAAAATGGCAACAGGATGTTGCTCACCAGGATCGAAATTATCTTGAATTCTCAGTGATGCAGGGCATCCCTGACGTACAATGAGGGGCGATGGACTTTTGTGCAAAAAAAAGTGGGGGGACCTAAGACCTCTATTTGATTTTTTTAATAAAGCTTTATTGAAGGTTAATGAACAGGCTGTAAAACTGCACATATTAATTGTATAACCGAACCACAGATGGTAATAAATCTATATATATATAAGTCCAATGTTTACTTTTAAAAACCATTTTCCTTTAATGTTTTATTTTGAGAGAACCAAGATGTTGCTTCATTTATCTATGCTGCTGACCACCACAAATAAAACTTCAAACGTATAAAAATGAACCTTTCTAAGGACCCCTTTCCCCCCATGTAGTCATTGTTTATATTGTCTTGACTAGATTTTTACAAACATGTTCTGGATAGAAAGAAACTTAAGACAGTCTAAATATTTTACTTTATTAGGAACAGAAAAAAAGTACTGCTTTCAAGGGTGAAAAGTCAAAAAACAGACCTATTATCCCCAGAATCCTGAAATGGAAGACTCATAAGCATAATACAAAAAAAAACACCAACACAAAACCCTGTAAAACGGAATCAAAACACAACACACACCCTTCACCCCCAGGATTTGTAGATACTAGGACCGCCTTTCTAAAGCTAAGAAGTCACTGGCCCAGACTGTTCCTCAACTCCCCCCTCCCCCCCAGTCTGAGCCAGAGGTCGATCTTAACTTACTCAAATATTCACAGCTAACTCCACACCATGAAGAGTGATCCCAGTGTGGAACCTGGTTCTTAGGTTCAGCCCCTGGGCACATAATCTACACCTTTTCGTCTTTTTTTTTTTTTTTAAAGACTTTCACAGAGGGATAAGCAAGAACAGGAACACAAGCAGAGGGAGGGGGAGAAGCAGTCTTCCCACTGAGCAGGGAGCCAATGCAGGGCTCAATCCCACAACCCTGGCATCAAGACCCGAGCCGAAGCTTTATTAAACATGTCCAACACAGAAAAGTCTGAAACATCTGGGTTATAGTTGCTCCATCTTCTGGTTCCCATCCACCTTTATTGTCAGCACCCTGAAAGTCACTTTACAGCCAGCCGCCCACTCAGCACAACTGAAAAAGGAAAAACCAAGCAGCCTCTGGAGGGCTTTTACAGTCAACAGACACCATATTCAAGCTTGTCAAATTTAAAGTCCCCCGGAAGGGTAGACCCTAAAGAAGCGCCGCGAAACTAACACCGTTCCCCGCCTCTGCCTTCACCCAGCTGAGGCGCTTCACGCGCTCCCCACCTTCCACAGACCCCTCGTTTTCCCTTCCTGCAAACATCAAGCCTTGGTGGGCCCTACACCAGGCCCGGGAGCTGGGCCTCGCCGCGCCCCACCGAAGGGCAGGCGTTCGGCGGCAGGCTCCTCCCCACTGTTCATGCATCGGTACAGACAGGAAACGCCGTCCTGCTTCAACTCACTGCGATTTACCCGGTCCGATCGGACGCCGGGCCACCGCGATCACCGGGCCAAGCAGTGCAGACAGCCCCCCGCCCCCCCCGCAGGAGGCCACCACTGGCGCCCATTTTCATCCCCCCATACACGCGGGGTGGGAGGACAATGGGACACATGGAGGCGGCCACGGGGGGCCGGACAGTGGGGGCCTGCCGGGGAAAGAGGACGCTGCCACCCGGGGCGTGGGGCCAGACCGCCGGCCTCCCGCACGTCCATCTCCACGCGTCAGCCACGCGTACCGACCGCCAGCCGAGGGGCGGGCGCAGGGGAACCACGGCCGCGGGCTCAGAGAACGCCGCCGGCCCCTCGTTGCCGGGGGTGCACACACCCTGGCACGGCCCCACGCACGACTCGGCCTCTGAGCAAGCCTTTCTGGGGAGGGGGACAGCACGAGCCCCTCCAAGGGAACCCCAAGCACGCACCCTGCGGGGACCAATGTGTCCTGCAACTCATTACCCCACTGCTCCAGCCGGCTCACCACCACTAATAGCGGCGGGCTAATCGGCGGAAGGGTCCCCTGGCGGAAAGCCCTCCCCACCCCCCCGGGAAAGGGCCCCCAACAGAGACCCAACTGCAGGAGTCCAAAGACTGGAGAACAGGACCTCCGAGATCGAATACCACGCAGACGCCCAAAGGCTCCCCCCCGCCTCCCCAGGAGCTCACAGTGCCCGCGGGCTCATTGGCGACACCCCCGCCTGGGGGGGGGGCCGTGTGGCCGATAAAGGACCGGGCTTTCCCAGCTCCTCGCGGGCATACCGCTCCAACCCGAGGCGGAAAGGCCTCCCCCCCCGCCAAGGGTCTAAATCTCCGTGCCAGGTACCTGTGGAGCTAGGTACCTGGCAGGGCCCCTCCCACAGTGCCCCTCCGACCCACGCCAGGCGCGCTTCTGTGGGGGAATCCCCACCCCCCCTGCACCCGCGCCCTGGCCCTTGACCACGGAAGGCGCGGGGCTCTGGCGGGAAACCAGGGCCCCAAGGCGTGGAGAGCGGGCAGAGCCTGGGGGTGGGATCCGGGCAGACGGCCGAAAATCCACAACCATGGGGGCGGCAAAGGGAGCCCCCCGCTAGCCAAGGCTCCACGATACGCCTGGGGTGGGGACAACCTGGTGGCGGGAGCACGGAAGACAAACGTGGGACCCTCGACACGCCTCGTGGGAGATGGCTGCAGGAGGCGCGGAGGGCAATGACGCACCCTCCGGCGAGCCTTCTCGGACGCGCGTCCCCGCACCGCCCGGGGAGGCCTTGGGCGCCGCCTGGCGCTTGCTCCGAGCTCCCACCGCGCTCACTAACGACCGTTCAGGTTGACCTCGGGATAACCTTGCTACGACGTTCTCTCAAGTTAGACCATATTAGCTAGCGGTCCGCCAGGCCGCGCCCACCTGAGGGCCTCACTAACCCGCCCGGGCGGGGTGTACTCGGGACCAGTACCCACCCACCGGGAATTCGGCTTTCGTGGTGACCAATGGCACTTCCGGTGCGAGCAGCCCACCGTAGATCAATCACACACTTGTTTACCTTGGGGGGGGCGGCGGCTGCCTGTCACACGTGTCCCCCTAAGAAACTGCCACAGGACCGCTGGCTCCAGGGAGTCACACAAACTAGTTAGTTCTCATTCCAGCCTCCAGGATCCCGATGAACCAGCAAAATCACTCCACCCACACAGCATCCCCACGATGAGCGAGCCACCAGCTAAATTCCCCCACATCGGGCAGAGGGTGCTGGAGACGGGCCCCCAACGGCATAGGAAAGGAGACCCGCACCCGCAACGCGGGCCTCTGGCTGGTCCGCCCCGGGGCCCCGACCCTGCCTTGGAGGCAACACGGTTCACGATGGGAAATCGGTGCTCAGCCCTATCGGGGAACCAGTGGGCTTCACGCCAGAAAGCAGCCTTCGCCCACACGCAACGACGTGCCCGGTGGCTACTCAGCGCGCGAGGGGAGCAGCGGCAAGGGCGTCAGGGGCCCCGATGCGCTCTCACGTCAGGGGCAGGGGATGGTCTCTGATCGAGGGCACGTCATCCCCCAAATCAGGGCCCGGCAGGCCCGCAGAGATTGTCCAAACACACGGGCTGGGGGGGCTCCATGATGCAGGTAAACACATGGTGCCCTTCAGGGGTCAGTGGCTCGA